TCGCTCAGACTCTTGCGAAGGGGAACGCTCGAAATCCTAAATGAGTCGCGGGGGCCGAGAAGAAGGCCGGGGCGAATCACCTTAAATGCGATATACTTAGTTTTAAATCAAACGGAAATTTTTTGGGGGGGGGGGGCGGGGGAGGCAGGAGCGGTGGTGGCGAGGGAGGCGGAGGCGAAGGCGGCGGGGGTGAGGGAGGCGGTGGCAGAGGCGGGGGTGACGGAGGAGGAGGGCCGGGTGGAGGGGGGGACGGAGGTGGAGGCGCCGGAGACGGGGGCGATGGAGGGGGAGGCCTCGGTGGGGGTGGTAACCTTGCGCGAGTGGAGGTGCGAGAGCGCCGACGCGATCTCGGCCGCGTACAGCCGCGCGCGTGGCTCGTCGAAGCGGCCGCGGCACTTGAGGTGGTAGAAGAGCTCGCCGCCGCAGCAGTAGTCCATGACGAGGAACAGCTTGGACGGGCTCTGGAAGGCGAAGCGCAGGTGGACGAGGAAGGGGTGGTGCGTGTCCTCGAGCGTCTTCCGCTCGGTCCGCGTGTGCGTCACCTCATTGCGCTCCAGCAGCACCGCCTTGGAGAGCACCTTCATCGCGTACACCGTCCCGTGGTCGCGCGCCTTGACGAGCATCACCTGTACGCGGCAGGTCGGCTTCGGGCGCGCGCTCGTAGGGGGCAGAGGCAGGGCTCCGAGTGCCTTTCCGAACGCGCCCTTGCCCAGCACCTTGAGCATCTCGAAGTCCTCGACGTTATAGCGAGACTTGCTGGCGCTAAAGGCACCGCCAACCGCGGAGGCGCCGACGCCGTCGCCAACGCTGGAGCGCTCGTGCGCGATGTCGAGGAAGGGGGTGTCGTCCACGTCGTCTCCCTCGTCCGAATCCTCGACCATCGCGACGGGCAGCCCTGACGTGCTCTTAGAGACAAACGGCACCCCCGAGAGGCCGAGCCGCGCGTTGAGCACCGACGGCTTTCGCTTGTCCTTGAGCACCGTGGGTTTGGTGGTCACTTTCGTCGCGAGAGCGCGGACGCTCATGTCGGAGACTCGCAGCTCCTTGCCGGAGCACGCCGCGTACGCCCTCGACAGCATCGCCACGGCCTGCACAAAGTACTGCGATTTGAAGTGGTAGTCGTAGTCGGACTCGACGTGGATCACAAACTCCCGTGCGGCCGCACAGGTGGACACGCAGCTCAGCCGTGCGACTGGGATGCAGCGGTTGCACTTGGCGTAGTTGTCAGGCATCAGGTTGAGCACGTGTCTCGTGGTGACGAGCAGCACCCGAGTCTGCGACTTGCCGCGCCGGTTAATCTTGGTGACGTTGAGCGAGAGCAGGACTTGGCCAGCGAGAGCCGAGTTGGCAGCGAGAGCCTTGAGTGCCCGCTTGTTGCGTGCGAGCTGAAGGTAGTCGCGAGGGCTCACCTCCACAGCAGACGGCTCCACCGCGGCCATCATTCGGTGGCACCGCCGATCGGCTTTTCGCGTTTTGATTTTTTTCTGTGCGTGACATGGCGACAGCGGACGAACGAAAGGTGTGCAGACCCCAGTACCGGCGGACGCAGCGAGCGTCGGGACTCCGTCCCAGCAGACGAAGTCTCTCTCGTGGGCTCCACGGCCCGGATCGCGAGCTCGATCGATACACGACTAGGTTAGGTTAGGTTATTTATAGGTATGTATGTAAGAAGGTGAAGAACAGCCAGGCTCGGACTGGACACCAACGCGGTATGGGTGGACGCGGGACAGATGATGACGACACGCACGAGCGACACACAGGCACAAACAGGCTCACACACAAGACACACAGCCAGCTGGCTGCCACACACCCTGAGTTGGCGTACACATAACTCAGGGCCACGTCCTCCCTGTCGCCCCCCCCAGCACACACGGTGCCAAGGGTACAAACAAGAGCACAACAACACAGACAGGTGACAGGGAGTAAAAAATAAAATATTCTTAGCTTCAAGCCCCCCTCCGAGACTAGGGACAGAACCACACCAGTATAGACCAGAGGGACTGCGCCTCGCCCCCACTTGCCCTGACTACACAGGATAGCGTGCCCCGATAACGGCGACACATAGTGGGGGACACTGCGCAAGGAGGGGGTGCGAAGGCTCATTGGGGTACTAGGTGGGACCATGAGGGGGGGTGGGCGGGGTCCTGTGGGGGTGAAATGTTGCGCGGCGAATTCGAACCTACCCCCTCGCCGCGCCGATCCTCACGCGGAGGGTAAAACCCTGTGGGACAAAACCCCCCCGCGGTCGGCAGTCTTCAGAGTGGACCCCC